TAGCTCTCGATTTGCAACCAGCTGTTTAGTGACCGTTTTGAAAGATAGATGTGGCCCTTGACTTAACAACAGTTGGTTTAGTGAGTGTGCAAAGTTACAATGGCACCGAAATGAGCGACTTAGGATCATTTTGCACACTTTACAACTATGGCGGTATCTCCGTGGGAGGAGAGAGAGGGAAGAAAAGAAGGAAGGAAGAGAGAGAAGGGAAGGGAGGAGAGAGGGAGAAAAGGAAGGAAGAGGAGAGAGAAGGGAAGGGAGGAGAGAGGGAGAAAAGGAAGGAAGAGGAGAGAGAAGGGAAGGGAGGAGAGAGAGGAAGGAAGAAAAGGAAGGAAGGAGAGAAGGGAAGGGAAGGGAGGAGAGAGAAGGGAAGGGAAGGAAAGAGAGGAAGGGAAGGGAAGGGTAGGGAGGAAGAAGAGAGAGAAGGGAAGGGAGGAGAAAGAGGGAGAAAAGGAAGGAAGAGCGAGAAGGGAAGGGAGGAGAGAGGGAGAAAAGGAAGGAAGAGGAGAGAGAAGGGAAGGGAGGAGAGAGAGGAAGGAAAGAAAGAGAGAAGGGAAGGCAGGAAGAGGAGAGAGGGAGAAAAGGAAGGAAGGAGAGAAGGGAAGGGAAGGGAGGAGAGAGAAGGGAAGGAAAGAGAGAGGAAGGGAAGGGAAGGGTAGGGAGGAAGAAGAGAGAGAAGGGAAGGGAGGAGAAAGGGAGAAAAGGAAGGAAGGAGAGAAGGGAAGGGAGGAGAGAGGGAGAAAAGGAAGGAAGGAGAGAGAGGGAAGGGAGGGGAGAGAGAGAAAAGGAAGGGAGAAAAGGGAAGGAATCCACCCACCCACCCACCCACCCATCCATACCTACCTACTTACCTACCTACCTACCTACCTACCTACTCACCTACCCATCCATCCATCCGTCCATCCATCCATCCATCCATTTTTGGTGCTGCATTTGAGATTAAAAAGCGAACATTGTAGCTGACTTTTTCCCATACACAGGAAAAATACGGGTTGCTTTATTGGAAGCTCTAATAATTTTGACCCTAAGTTAATTTCCCTTCTTCACCCCGCGAGTTAGCAGAGTTTGCTTTGAGCAATTAGGATGATTAAATAAGAATATATGACAAGCTTTTTTTCCCCTTTTTTTGTGTGTGTGTGACTAATTTGTCAAGTCTCTGTGACCAACCTTTATCCCCCTGCGCTGAGACCCAGGGAAGGTTAGAAACAGCAATGGGGGAGGCGAAATGCTGAGGGGAGGGGGAGAGCCCACCTACAGCTCAAAAACATCCCACAGAAAAATTACATCATTTTATATTAGTAGAAGAGCAACAAAGAGGATTAGGGGGCTGGAGGCTAAAATATATGAAGAACAGTTGCAGAAACTGGGTAAGTCTAGTTTAATGAAAAGAAGGACTAGGGAGACATGATAGCAGTCTTCCATTATTTGAGGGGCTGCCCCAAAGAAGAGGGGGCCAAGCTATTCTCCAAAGCACCTGAGGGCAGGAGAAGAAGCAATGGGTGGAAACTAATCAAGGGGAGAAGCAACTTAGAACTAAGGAGAAATTTCCTGATAGGGAGGACAATGAATCAGTGGAACAACTTGCCTCCAGAAGTGCTTAATATTCTACTCTACTCTACTCTACTCTACATTCTCTATATTCTTTATTCTATCCTATTCTATTCTGTTTATTCTATTGTATTCTTCATTCTAATTTTCTTTTTTTCTCTATTCTATTCTACTCTACTCTGTTCTCTATATTATTTATTCTATTCTATTCTCTATTCTCTTTATTCTATTCTTTCTTCATTCCAATTTTCTATTCCTATTCTATTCTATTCTATTCTACTCTGCTGCCTATTATCTATTTTATATTTTCTTTATTCTATTGTATTCTTTATTTATTCTATTCTTTCTTCATACCAATATTCTGTTCTGTTCTGTTCCGTTCCGTTCCGTTCCGTTCCGTTCCGTTCCATTCCATTCCATTCCATTCTCCCATCCCATCCCATCCCATCCTATCCTATCCTATCCTATTCTATTCTATTTATCCAATGCTATGCTATGCTATGCTATGCTATGCTGCGCTGCGCTGTGCTACGCTACCCTACCTTACCCTACCCTACCCTATACTATACTATACTTTACTCTATTTTTCAGGGTCTGTTGTGACTTTGAAAAGTCTCTAAGTCACTGATTGTAAGTCGAGGACTACATGAATACAAAATACAGGTAGTCCTTGACTTACTGACCGCAACATTTCTGTTGCTAAATGACACAGTTGTTAAATGCATTTTGCCCTGCTGTGCGACGTTTCTTGCCACCATTGTTAAGTGAATCGCTGCCATCGCTCAATTGGTCACAATGTTGTTAAGTGAATCAGGCTTCCACATTGACTGGGCTTGCCAGAAGGTGATCGCGGGACCCCAGGACACTGCAACGGTCATAAATATGAATCGGTTGCCAAGCGTCTAAATTTTGACCACAGGGATGCTACAATGTTTGTAACTCTGAAAAATGGCTGTAAGTCCCTTTTTCAGTGCCGTTGTAACTTCGGTCACTAAACGAAACTCTTGTAACAGAGCATGTCAAATTTTTCAACTTTCCATTTCCAAACATCCGGGGTTTTCAGAGGTTGTGACGTGCCTTGGTGATTTTAAAGATATTTTGCTTCTTTTAACATAATTTAGATGCGCTTAGTAAGTAACTACATCAGTGTAACTTTTTTAACATTTTGTTTGTAAGTTGAGGACTACCTGTTTATAGCTGGGCCCAAACTACGAATGCTGGCTATGTGTTGGTCAAATCTTTGCTTCCTCTGAGTCAAGTGTTTTCTCCATTCCCTATGGCCGTGATGGCGAACCTATGGCACGCATGCCAGAGGTGGCACACAGAGCCCTTTCTGTGGGCACGTGTGCTGTCGCCAGCTGTTCTTCGGGTTTCTGCCAGCTGGTCTTCGTGGGTGCCTGAGTGGCCAAAAACCAGGCTGTTTTTCAGGCCATTTTCAGGCCGTTTTCAGGCCGTTTTTTGAGCCAATTTTAGGCTGTTTTTTGGGCCATATTCAGGCTGTTTTCAGGCCGTTTTTTGGGTCATATTCAGACTGTTTTCAGGCCATTTTCAGGCCGTTTTCAGGCTGTTTTTTTTGGGTCATATTCAGGCTGTTTTCAGGCCGTTTTTCGGGCCGTTTTCTGGTCATTTTTCGGGCCGTTTTCAGGCCGTTTTTGGGCCATATTCAGACTGTTTTCAGGCCATTTTCAGGCCGTTTTCAGGCTGTTTTTTTGGGTCATATTCAGGCTGTTTTCAGGCCGTTTTTCGGGCCGTTTTCTGGTCATTTTTCGGGCCGTTTTCAGGCTGTTTTTTGGGCTGTTTTCAGGCCATTTTTCAGGCTGTTTTCAGGCCATTTTTCAGGCTGTTTTCAGGCCATTTTTCAGGCTGTTTTCAGGCCATTTTCCAGGCTGTTTTTGGGCCAAAAAACAACCTGAAAAATGGCCAAAAAACAGGCATGCGTGCGTCGGCCAGCTGGTCTTCGGGTTTCTGGTGCTCCGGCACACGCACATGCACATGCGTTCCAGTTTGGGCACTCGTTGCCGAAAAGGTTCGCCATCACTGCCCTATGGTCTGCTTTTCATGTTTGCTAGAACTAGAACTCACCATCTCCTGGTGTTTGGCCCAAAGTCACCCAGCCAGCTTTCATACCAAAGGCAGGACTAGAACTCACAGACTAGGTTTGTGGAATAGTAATAGTAGGAGGAGGATTGTGGGTTCCTTGATGATCTCCGAGCTGGGTTGTTTTCTTGCAGACATTTCACGACCCAACTAGGTAACATCTTCAGTGCGAGAAGGAAGCGGGGTTTGCTCTCTGTTTATATACGAATGACTTGCCTGGTCAGCAAATTTATAAACAAGTATTTTACCCTTCCTCATCTGCAGGGTTTTCCAGTTGGAAAACCATTTTGACCAATAGAAGGGAATGTTTGTAGCTCAGGGTTGAACTGTGCGGTCCCTGGTGCTCTCTGAGCTTGGTGGTTTTCTTGCAGATGTTCGTTGTGGCCCGCCAGTGGCCTGCGCGGATCGTGGCTGATCCCGACGAAGAGGAGGCTGGTGTGGTGCTGCGCCAGCAGCCTGTGCAGCTGGTGCTCGCGTCAGACAGCGAGGAGGCTGAAGAGGATGTGGTGCCAGAGGCAGAGACTCAGCCAGGGCCTTCAGAACCTCCAGAGGCTCCTTCAAGTGGAGAGAGCGAAGTGGAGGAGCCTCTCCTCAATGCTCGGGCACGCAGGGCTGCCAAAAGGCAGGAGTGGTTACTCAGGAGGAGGAGGTCTCCTCGAGAGTAAGGCTTGAGGATAATTGGCTACTCCCTTAGCCTATTTAAGTCACATGCTATTAGTAAGTTTCTTGCTGGAAACAACTTGTAATTATCATCAGAGTATTTTGGTTTATCGTATCTTGTTTTCTGGGCTGGTTGCCAAGCTTTGCCAGTCTTGTTTATTCTTGCTACTTAATAAATTTGATAAGGACCGTTGGGGTGTGTCAATATCCTCCGAAATCCGGAGCTGGGGCAGAACAATGTTTTATGACCCAACTAGGTAACATCATCAGTGCTAGAAGGAAGTGGAGTTTGTGGAGAGGAGGAGGGGGGAGAGAGGAGGAGGAGGAGGAGGAGACTGTTTAGTCCTTGGTGCTCTCTGGAATTTGGTTGTTTGCTTGCAGACGTTTCATGACCCAACTAGGTAACATCCTCAGTGTTAGAAGGGAGTGGGGTTTGCTGTCTATATCTGGACCTGAACCCGCGAATGCTGGCCTTGTGTTGGTCAAACTTTTGCTTCTTCTGAGTCAGGAGTTTTCTCCCTTCCCTGCGGTCCGCCTTTCATGTTGCATTTCCCCGTCTCTTCTTCAGATGTCAAAAAAAATAAATAATCAGATTTGCGCTGAATTAGCAGCAGGGGGTCTCCTGCATTGCCTTCCCTGCCTTTTCTCCACCGGAAATGTTCTCTTTTTTTTTTCCTTAACTCGTTATCTCACCCCTGCAGCACCAATACCGCGAGTGCCAGGAACTGCTCAGCCTCTATCAGAAATATCTTTCCGAGCAGCAGGAAAAACTCACCCATTCCCTTTCCGAGCTGGAGGCCGCTAAGCAGAAGGAGCATCAGGTGAGCCTCTCTTCCGCCAACTCTCGGTCGCTTCTGTCCATTTGTTTCTCAAACGCCTGCCTTTGTATCCCGCACTTTCTTATTTTCACAAACGACTCGCGGTGGCAAACTTATTCCGACAACGTCCTTTTGTTTTCCCTGTGATGACAACCCCGTGAGGTGGGTTGGGCTGAGAGAGACAGACTGGCTTCAAGTCACCCAGGTGGCTTTCACACCTAAAGTGGGACTAGAACTCATAGTCACCTGGTAATTGGAAGTCATCTAGCTGGGTTTCACTCTGAAAGTGGGACTAGAATCACAGTCACCTGGTGATTGAAAGTCACCTAGTTGGCTTTCATGGTTCAGGCAGAACTACAACTCACCCTCTCCTGGTGATTGGTCCAAAATCAACCAGCTGGCTTTCATGGCTCAGGCAGAACTAGAACTCACCGTCTCCTGGTGATTGGACCAAAGTCACCCAGTTGGCTTTCATGGCTCAGGCAGAACTAGAACTCACCGTCTCCTGGTGATTGGACAAAAGTCACCCAGTTGGCTTTCATGGTTCAGGCAGAACTAGAACTCACCGTCTCCTGGTGATTGGTCCAAAATCAACCAGCTGGCTTTCATGGCTCAGGCAGAACTAGAACTCACCATCTCCTGGTGATTGGACCAAAGTCACCCAGTTGGCTTTCATGGCTCAGGCAGAACTAGAACTCACCATCTCCTGGTGATTGGACAAAAGTCACCCAGTTGGCTTTCATGGCTCAGGCAGAACTAGAATTCACCATCTCCTGGTGATTGGACCAAAGTCACACAGCTGGCTTTCATGGCTCAGGCAGAACTAGAACTCACCCTCTCCTGGTGATGGGACCAAAGTCACACAAGCAGCTTTCATACCAAAGGCAGGACTAGAACCCACAGGTTTGTGCAGTGGAAGAGGAGGATCGGCGTGGAGTCCTTCATGTTCTCCGAGCTTGGTTGTTTTCTTGCAGACATTTCATGACCCAACTAGGTAACATCATCAGTGCTGGAAGGGAGTAGGATTTGCTGTCTGCGCCTATACAAGTGACTTGTCAGTGTTGATGGGAATATTCTTGGTGGCTCCTTAGTTAGGCTATTGTTTAGTATTAATTTTGCTTGTGTGACTCACTATAAGCCTTGGTGGTGCAGTGGACTAAAGTGCTGTTAAGTAGCACCAGCTGCCTGCAATTACTGCGAGTTCAAATCTCACCAGGCTCAAGGTTGACTCAGCCTTCCATCCTTCCGAGGTAGGTAAAATGAGGACCCGGATTGTGGGGGCAATAAACTGACTTTGTATAAAAAAGAACACCGCTTGGGGGGTGGGGGGTGAAAGCCCTACTAAGCAGGTATATACAAAAGTATAAAGGTTGTTGCTTAACGTATTGTAAGCCGCCCTGAGTCTCTGGAGAAGGGCAGCATATAAATCGAACCAATAAATAAAATATATTTTCTTGATTGGGGTGTTGTTTTACTTCTTGAGGAAACCTTACTCCCTTCCAACACTGATCATGAAACATCTGAAAGAAAACAGCCAAGCTCGGAGAGCACAATCCCCCTGGTGACTTCAAAAAAGTTATTACACGGTGGATGAAGCAGAGTCCTCATGACAGAAAGGCAAGGGAGTGGAATAACACGGAGGAACATGGATGGGCTTTCTTGCAAGAATCATGAAGGGGAAATCCCAGGTGGAAAAATCCATTCAGGGGCCCCAAAGTTGCTTTTTCAAAAGGCAACTGGACCTTGGTTTTTTTCCTTGAAGACGTTTTGCTTCTCATCCAAGAAGCTTGTTCAGTTCTGACTGACTGAACGGTGGAAGATGGAAGGATTTGTATTCCTTGCAGTCATCCGGTCGTTAGTTCTCTTTCTGAGAGTCTGTGAGCCCCAGCCTTGCGAGGGTCCTTGGGGCCGCCATTCGTGTGGGGATCGCCATTCCGCTGCTGCACACTTGCGCCGACGACCCTTCCTCTGTGCCCGCTCAACTGGGTCGTCAGCCCCGAGCCATGCCTCTCACTTCGACTTCCCAGCCGATGACATCAGGGCAGTGGTGAAATCTAAAATTCGTTACTACCGGTTCTGTGGGCGTGGCTTGGTGGTGGGGGTAATGTGACTGGGTGGGCGTGGCCATTTTTTTTTAACTTTTAAAACCATTTTTTCTACAACCTCTTCCGTGAAGAGGTTGTAAAAAAATGCTTTCAAAAGGCTCTGATGATCCCAGCTGAGTTGTCTGATCGTCAGAGGCTTTTATTCTTTTAAAAACCTCTGACGATCAGGCAGCTCAGCTGGAATCGTCAGAGGCTTTTAAAAGAAAAAAAGCCTCTGCCGATCAGGCAACTCAGCTGGGATCGTCAGAGGCTTTTAAAAGAAAAAAAGCCTCTACCGATCAGGCAACTCAGCTGGGATCGTCAGAGGCTTTTAAAAGAAAAAAAGCCTCTGCCGATCAGGCAACTCATCTTGGATCGTCAGAGGCTTTTAAAAGAAAAAAAGCCTCTACTGATCAGGCAACTCAGCTGGGATCGCCAGAGGCTTTTAAAAGAAAAAAAGCCTCTGCCGATCAGGCAACTCATCTTGGATCGTCAGAGGCTTTTAAAAGAAAAAAAGCCTCTACTGATCAGGCAACTCAGCTGGGATCGTCAGAGGCTTTTAAAAGAAAAAAAGCCTCTACCGATCAGGCAACTCATCTTGGATCGTCAGAGGCTTTTAAAAGAAAAAAAGCCTCTGCCGATCAGGCAACTCAGCTGGGATCGTCAGAGGCTTTTAAAAGAAAAAAAGCCTCTACCGATCAGGCAACTCATCTTGGATCGTCAGAGGCTTTTAAAAGAAAAAAAGCCTCTACCGATCAGGCAACTCAGCTGGGATCGTTCGAGGCTTTTAAAAGAAAAAAAGCCTCTACCGATCAGGCAACTCATCTTGGATCGTCAGAGGCTTTTAAAAGAAAAAAAGCCTCTACCGATCAGGCAACTCAGCTGGGATTGTTCGAGGCTTTTAAAAGAAAAAAGCCTCTGCCGATCAGGCAACTCAGCTGGGATCGTCAGAGGCTTTTAAAAGCATTTGACAATCTCGGCTGAGCCGTGCGATCATCAGAGGCCTTTTTGTACTTTTAAAAACCTTTTTTCGGTCAAAGAGGTTGTAGAAAAAATGCTTTTAAAAATTAAAAAAAAAGCCTCTGATGATTGTGCGGCTCAGCTGGGCATGGGGGATGGGCAGGGATTTTTGCTACCGGTTCTCCGAACCACCCGCCTCCATCGCTACCGGATCAGACGATCCGGTCCGAACTGGGAGCATTTCACCCTTGCATCAGGGTCATGCACTGAAGCAGTTTCTCACCATCTCTCACTTTAAGGAAAGACGGGGCAGCTGCGGAACAACTGAAGTGACTTATGATGGATTGGGGAGGGAGAGGGAGGATACGGGTTAATTGGATAATTGAGTGATTGCACTGGGGTGGAGCTGTATGCTGCTTAGAAGGTGATGGGGAGCACGGAGCATCAGCTCCAACAAAGATTCCTTTCTGTAACACTTTAAGGGGGTCAGTTGGTACCTTAAAGCAAACCTGGGCAAGAACCCCATATAGATATTTTAATAAGATTTCTCTGAACCTCCCAAGGCTTAGGAGACCAACAATTGCACAGGTACAGTATAGGTGGTACCTTGCTCAATAGTAGTAACTGTGAGAGGGATCTTGGAGTCCTAGTGGACAACCATTTAGATATGAGCTAGCTGTGTGCGGCAACTGCCAAAAAAGCCAACACAGTTCTGGGCTGCATCAACAGAGGGATAGAATCAAGATCACCTGAAGTGTTAATACCACTTTATAAGGCCTTGGTAAGGCCACACTTGGAATGCTGCATCCAGTTTTGGTCGCCACGATGTAAAAAAGATGTTGAGACTCTAGAAAGAGTGCAGAGAAGAGCAACAAAGAGGATTAAGGGACTGGAGGCTAAAACATATAAAGAACGGTTGCAGGAACTGGGTATGTCTAGTTTGATGAAAAGAAGGACCAGGGGAGACATGATAGAAGTCTTCCAATATATCTCAGGGCCTGCCCCAAAGAAGAGGGAGTCAAGCTATTCTCCAAAGCACCTGAGGGCAGGACAAGAAGCAATGGGTGGAAACTAATCAAGGAGAGAAGCAACTTAGAACCCAGGAGGAATTTCCTGACAGTGAGAACAATGAATCAGTGGAACAACCTGCCTCCAGAAGTTGTGAAGGCTCCAACACTGGAAGATTTTAAGAAGATGTTGAATAACCATTTGTCTGAAGTGGTGTAGGGTTTCCTGCCTAAGAGGGGGTTGGACTAGAAGACCTTCAAGGTCCCTCCCAACTCTGTTATTCTATTCTTTTTTAAATTCCTGTTTCATCTCTGCTTGATGTTTCTCTGAGACACCACGGATGAGCTGAGACGAAAACGGCCTTAGAATCACAGTCTATTGCCTCCATTTCAACTTTTCTCTTGACATGAGTTCCCGAGCTTTGGGGAGGGGGGGTAGGAATGGTGCCAAAATGATTTAAGACAGAGCTCTCATGGAGTCAATAATCAGTAACTGGAACGTGAGTCTTTTTTTTCTCTCTCTTTTTCTTTTTTCTTTTTTTGTATGTGCGTCCGAGATAAAGTTAATTCCATTTGAAAAGATACTTAAGGTGACACGAATTGAATTATTCAAACCGGCTTTCTCAGCATTAACTCTAGGTTAATATCTCATGATGCCTCCGGTTTCATTACTGGAGTTTTTAAGGACATAACTTTTTATAATAAATTCAATACCGAGAGAAGCCGGACTGAAATTGGTTTACTTTCTAGCCAGCCATAAAAGAAAAAGCAGTATTAATTGTAAAAGTGAATATTAAAACGCTCACCGAACTTGACTCAAGACAGATGTGGAAATAACCCTTCCGATTGCGGTGGGCCGAGCCACTCATTTTCTGCTCTTATAATGTTAAAAATGTGAAAATATAGTTTAAGGGGCTTCCATCACGAACAATTGGAGACTTGTTTCTTAGCT